GGAAGGCCCCGGGAAATATGGTTCTGTCTCGTGTACTAGACCCAGTTGTAATACTTGTCTTTTTATTACAGACTCTAATCGTATATTTGGCCCCAAGAGCGTGGTGAATAATGCATTCATTCATTACAAAGAATGTTGTTCATTGCATTTCGCGTAATAAATACGGGAAACTTTATATTGGTTCTACAATTCGTCAATTAGGGGATCGGTTTTCTGAGCATCTACGACAAACTAGACAGAAACATCGTTTATTCGGTTTCATATCATTTTGATTCTAGTATATGTCCATTTCTGGTGTACGTGTTATAGCAACGAGAATCAGTCCAGGCGTGTGGGGGAGGAAACCACATTCTGCCGTTAACAAACTGTTTAACTAATTCCTTGAGCTTACTACCTAATGCGCCTTATATGTTCTATTGTGGAAACATTTAGTAATTCCATGTTATAGTTGCTGTGTATGTTCTTACACTTACTCTTATGTTCTACCTATACATTTAAACATGGGAGTCAATGCTATCACTAAAGAGCCATTGCTCGAAACGTCTAGCTACTTTTGTTAGTTACTTAGGATAACGATTACCAAATATTATCCACTATATATCCTGTAAATTTATAGCTAGTTATACATATACAAACATATACAAAAAATATTAAAGTCTAACCCTTATTGAAAACTCAACCATCGTGAAACTCAACTTGCGTGAAAATGTTTATTTCTGTCCATCAGCAATTTATGAGAGGACATTCTAAAATAATACAATTTTCATCAGGTAAAAGTATTTAAAATAAATAAATTCCATTCAATCCCATACCTGAAATTAATCTATGTTCTAAAATTAAATATTTATAGCGGTTTTTATCGTAGAAATGTAACATATCTGCTTTCCAATGGGGAGCATAGTTGGTCCATCATTTTCACGAACATCATCCCCCTCGCGTAATAAAGAACATGAATATTTATATATATCATCATGACTTTATTGGATTGGAACTGCCTCATCTGAGAATATATAAATTGACCAAGTGGTTGAAGTTGAAATGTGATCAAAGAGCATCATTTTGTTTCATTTTGTATTTCATTTTGTTTCAATGTATTCCAAACATGGTTTCGAACAACTGCATGACGATCATCATATTAAATATTTTTATAAATAATAATCACTATTTGAAAAGTTATTTGGTTACAATGAGTAGTGGATGACTTTATATTATTACAAGAAAAAATGGGAAGCACCTAATTCAGTAATGTAGATAATTGTCTAACATAGAAGCATGCATGCATAAACCTATGAAGCCGTAATAACACAAATAACCACAACAATGGACGTATATAATACTGGCGATCGGACACGGTCTCACCTACGCACAGTTTATCTTGATGAAAACGGCACTTTGCATAATAACGGTGTATTTTCCAGTAACACTGGCGACGACGGTAATGCAGGGCTTAGTCACACCCTCACTCAGTCGATCACGCTCTTTGCATAATAACGGTGTATTTTCCAGTAACACTGGCGACGACGGTAATGTAGAACGCAGTCACACCGACACTCAGACGATCACGCTACCGATGAATTACAATGAGATGTTCTCGGGTGTTTGAAACTCGTCACCCAATTACCCATATTCCGCTCACTGCGAGATCTCGTGTCCTTTGCAACCAGTCATACAGGTCAAGCTTACCCCTAGTGACGCCAGCGCCATTGTTCACTCCATTGTATTCCGTTCACACAACGATATCGACTGTACAAAAACGCTACAATGGGAGTAAAACGGTGCTCTTACTGTGAATGCAAGAGTGACTCTCGGCTCATCTAAAGTATTACACGAATGATGTGTTTTTCACGCGTTTCTCGAAACCAAAAACACAACATGAGAAATGTGATCGGTAGACCAGTGCCTGTTCTCGTGCCAATGACTTTGAAAAACACCGGATCACCCAAGACACTTACAGTACTCGACCAGTACTCAGAAAATTGTGATTTTTTGAGGGGTATGCGCATACCCGAGCACCCCTCCTGGAAAGAAGTGCATATGACAATTTTAATTCACCAGTTTCAGCCATAATGTATTCTTGCACGATTTGACCTGCAGCAACGTCCTTAGACTTGATGAGTCAAGTGTGTTAAAGGTAAATTGTATATGGCATGAAGTATTTATCGCATTTCACTTTTATTAAGAAGTCATTGTCAACATATTCATGGTGGTCGATATCTACGCTGTATCATATAAATCAGGTGCAGCCAACAAGCAATAAATTTAAATAGTTAATTCTCTGGGAACAAATATTTTATGGTACTTTTGAAGTATGCTAATTAATATAAAGGAAAGAGGGGAAATTAAAAGCTGTTCATACGCTACCCTCCACCTAAACAAAATTGTCTTTCCCTCCTGCTGATCAAATTCATCTTTCCCCTGCTCGCATTTTCAGTTATTGATAGCACACGGCTGCCCACATTTAGCAGATGTTGTTTCCCCAAACGTTTTTTTTTATTATACCCTGCCCTAAAGGCTGTTTTGCCTTGGGACAGCTTTTCTGATGAACACCTCCATTGGCTGCACCTGATAAATACGATTACAAGTATTCACTCTATGTTCAAAACTTATCTATCGTCCAAAACAGCATTGTCTACCTATCTCCATAAAACACCAACGTGATTTAATGTTTGACATTTATGTTTCCAACTAAAACAAACGTATCTCATTGTTGATTCTAGAAAGCAACAACACTCAGTAAAGGCACGCCATGTAGCCGAAAGATGGTATCCTTAAGTTAAGCAACATCCAAGCATGTACATTAAAGCATGCGAGAAATCAGTACATGATACTAACTATTTCTACAGCAAACATTAATGTTAACATTAATGATCTAGACAATTATTAGTACCAATAATTAATATTAAACACTGTAAAAAATATTAAATTTAAATAATATTCACTCACCTTGTTCAGTTCATCTTTCTGAACAGTTTTGTATCAGTGGATAAATGGCCATGGCTAGGCATTAGTTTCGGCATGCAACAATCTCTAATTCTTTAATTAAATTGTTTCAGAAATATCTGAATCTCAAATATTCAAAAACATCAATGGGATTAATATAAAATAATGTGCATCGAGTGTAAATACATTTTTTAAATATTGGACAGTATACGAGTACTATATAACTTGTACTGCATTTCAGAAAGACGTTGTACTAAAGGGTACCGTTATTTTGATATAACGCTGCATATACCCGTCATTAATAACCTAGTAATCATACATCACTTATTATATAACCATAGTTGTTTAACAATGTTTTTCTCTCTACATTACGGATGATCATTTTCTGACGCCGTTTACTCTGCTATAAAAAAATAAACCTGTTCAGACAAAAACACTTGTTAAGTGGGACCACTGGTACCTACTACATCGCACATAGATTTTTCATTTTGGTTGGATTTAAGAAAGGATACGTTGGCAGTGCTGCGAGATTCTTGCAAACTGTGAGATCTGGGACCGAGATTTGTCAGAGCGCCTTCCCCAGTGCAATCATGGCCATAGTTCACATCTGATGATCGTCTGTCTCAACGTCGTTTAAAGGACATTCAAGATGGATATGAATCTTTATCTATTGTTTACAACATTCAGAAGAAAATAAGCACTCGCCGTCCTAAGTTCTTCACGAAAAAATACGGTGAATATTTTTTTTGTCTGGCATAATGATAACATTTCTCATTTTTCATCATAACCACAATAATATAACCGATATGGCAAAATGGCCAACAACACCCAATAACGTAAACACAGGATTATCCTCGTTTAAAAACGACTTATATCTGATCAAGTAAATGCATACAATAGATGATTATGAATACAGTCGCTAGAAGATATATTGCATTGATAACAAATCCAGATTGAACAGCTGTTGTGCTATAATTATGCATAATGGCTATTGGCACGTGTCGAAGCTTTAATCATATGTCAGTCCTGTCAATCGATATTCGTAAAGTGTCATATAATGACATCATCAATACATTATATATAAACCCAATATATATCTTCTAAGAATTCACCTTTGTTCAATTTTGATATGGAAAATACATCCACGGATTTATACGATTTGATAATATTAATTAACTTCAACACAGGAATAGAGAAGTGATGATAAAATAAGCTTCAATATACCTCTATTTTATAACTGTCCCGAACCTCGTACAACCAATATCTTGTGTGGCTATAATATGACGTCATGGTTTTGTTCAGTTCCTCGAGACACACATCAATCAACCATGAAATCCGGCAAGTTGAAATTCAACGACCAGGAGCTGTCAAGTTTTAGTTTAAAAACAAGTGGCCCAATATTACTAAATTATAATAATAAATATCTATGTTATAATACTAATTTGTGTCATGTATCCGAAAATAAACTTTCATAAGTTTTTACATAATTAGAAATGAAACAAACAACATTGAGTCACAATAAACACTTTATAGCAGACTGGTTAAAATGCTAGGATGTACAGACTATGCACAATGCGCCTACACAGCTGAACGAACAATAATTCAGTGATTCAAATATCTATTTAAGGCTTTAACTTAAATTTCCCCTTTACTCAACATAAAATTATACCGAGTATAAAAAATAATTAAGCACTTCTCATACCTGCAGTGACACTTCATAAATCGATAGATTTTATTCCTTTTTATGATGCAACATGAAGACGCATAAACCGATGTGCCACTAATCCACTGTATGGACTGTCTAAGTTGAGCATAATACTGTGGCTTTATGATGATGAAGCTGAAAAAATATAACTTTATTGAACATATGTCTGCTTGATGCGGGTAATACATTTGATATTCCGTTTTATAGTGAGGTACATTTGCTTTATTATATGCAACAGAAACCCCTCAAAAGTTTAAATTATAATACTTCAATTTGTCACCCTCTTGTATGCGAGACTGACAACCCCTACTTTAAATAAATAGATTAGTATACCTGTACGCCATCTGTACGCTAACAGACACGTAAACAATTTGCAATATATGTGAATGCGTGCAACTTCAACTAGTATATATGCCAAGATTTGTTATAATTCGAAAACGAAATGAAGAAAATGTTCATCACGTTGGTGTGTGTCTGTGCATTAGTTTCGTACTATTTGTCGACGCAGAGTGAACGCTCGCTAACAACGTTTTCCCACACCATATACAAGACAAATGAGGTAAGAACACGTCACAATTGTTTACATAGAAGTAGCAGTTGTTTGGCATATAGCTTTGTCATATAGCTTTGCACTAGCATGAGACGAACGAAAAAATCGCCCGTATGGTAAATGTATGCACAAGTTCACTAATTGTACGTATTAACTTTATTTTGCGATTGTCGATTCCTTGTACATATAAAACAACAATTGATCAATATAGAAAAATTGGGCAGTATACACGTTAATATATGTACTGTAGGTCGGGGTGAGATTACACCAAAAGTTAATGTTATTTTGATATATCGCTGCGTCATTAATAACTTAGTAATCATACATAATCATCACTTATTATAACCATAGCTGTCTAACAATGTTTTACTCTCTACATCACCGATAGTGATTTACTGGCGCCGTTTACTTTGCCATAAACAAATAAACATGTTCAGACAAAAAAATCTTTATTTATCGGGCCCACTGATACCTACCAAATAGCATTTTGGATTTTTCATTTTTGGTTGGATTTACGCCAACAAATACGCTGGCAGCGCTGCGAGATTCTCACAAACAGTGATAGCTTGGACCGATATTTGTCAGTGCGTCTTCCCCAGTGTGATCATGGTCATAGTACACATCGGATGATCGTCTGCCTCAATGTTCTTTAAAGGACTTTCAAAACGGACATGAATCTTCACTCAACGCTTATAACTTTTGGGAGAAAAAAAATCGCTCGCCGTCCTCAAGTTATCCCACAAAAATATGGTAATATTTGTTTTGTCTGGCGTAATAATAACATTTCTCATTTATTCATAATAATAATAACCACAATAGTATAACCGATATTGCAAATGGCCAACACCTACACAACAAATCACTCACGGAATTATCCTTGATTCAACACGACTTATATCTGATCAAGTCGCTGCAAATGAATACGAATTGAATTGACAAGAAACCCCATATTGAACGGCTGTTGTGCCATAATTATGCAAAATGCTGCTGTGTTGCATAAGCAGCTTTCATCACATATTTTTAGGTCCAGTCAATCGATATAAGTCCCGTGCCATATAATGTTATCATGAATACAAGGAATAGAATTTAGAATAAGTGACCCATAGTCATCCAATACATAGAAATCAACTGTGCTCATTTTTAATATGGAAAATACATTCACGGATTTATACGATTTGATAATGTTACAAATTAACTTCAACACAGGAAAAGAGGTGCCATGACCAATATACATAATATTAGTTCACAATTTTGATTACTATTTGTTAGTACTTATTATAGATTTGTTCTATAATTACATTGTAGAATTACTCAATGGAACACGTTACAACTGTTAAGCCAACGAATGGTCAAATCATGCAAGCCCACAATGGGACCGAGAAGAAGGCGGCACCAACACTTGTTAAAGTCAGTGAATACTCGAGTAATCGTACTTTACAACCTTTGGATACTGTTAAGCCAACGAATGGTCAAATCATGCAAGCCCACACTGGGACCGAGAAGAAGGCGGCACCAACACTTGTTAAAGTCAGTGAATACTCGAGTAATCGTACTTTACAACCGTTGGATACTGTTAAGCCAACGAATGGTCAAATCATGCAAACCCACACTGGGACCGAGAAGAAGGCGGCACCAACACTTGTTAAAGTCAGTGAATACTCGGGTAATCGTACTTTACAACCGTTGGATACAATAGCAAGGAGTAACAAAGATGATGGACAGAAAACACAATTGGAACAAACAAAGCGATATCTGTTTCCTTTAATGTATTATGCATGCGGACCTTGTGAACAGTACTCGTTTTTTGTGAGTGGTATTATAAATGCCATGTCAATGAATCGTTCATTGGTAACAATACCGTTCCATAATAACCATTTGCAAAATGTTTTTACACAACGTAACTTTAATGAAACGTTTGATTACGCAAAACTTCGTCAAATTGTGGAATTATCCACAGTCGATGAATTCATTGATACTTGTGGAACAAATTTTACTGCAGAAAATATTCTGCTCGGACCACAAGGAGATCCTAATAGAACAGACTTACGCGACAAAGCGTTGATGACATATCATGGATATGTGTATAGACTGGGATTTTACATTCCAAGTCTACACTTACCTACTAAGGAGGATGTTCAAAATTATCAAGAAAGTTTGTCCCAAAATTCTCTTGAAGTATCAAAGAATGTCAAGTGTATTATCTTTGTAACTGATTTGAGAGACTATTTTAGAGTCAATGAACCAACATATCGAGATATTATAAAGCGTATCCGCAAACACTTGATAAGAGCGTCTTATATCCAAAAATTAGCTACCGATGCCATCAAGCAGATATCAGGAGGATTACCATATGCTGCCCTTCATTGGCGTAACAGATCTGCCGAATAGTGAGTAGCCTTGTATACGTATGTATATTGTGATTGAATGTTCCCTATTGGCACACCCATTGATAGTGATATTGATATTTGTCTTTCTATTTTCACGTTGAAAACTTCTCGTTATAGGCAATCGGATTATATTAATAACCTAGTTTGAGATTTATATAATTTTTTTCAAAAGTCCACAGTTAAAACAAAACAATATGAAACGTATATGACTAATAGGGAAACTAGATAGCAGGAGATGCTAACCTGTGGTAGATTCCTTAAAAGTTGTTATCAACGTTTAAAGCCACAGTTTAAGACTTTTACCCTTTGTAGCCCAATACTGACCAGATAGTTTCCAAAACAGTAATGCATGTCATTTTCAAATGTGTTTGATTGTTCAACATCATCTGTGATACCTGCCTGGATCAGACACAACACATGTAATCAAGCGGTATATATGTATGACCTACATTCAAACTTAATGTTGAGTTACTCATGCTGTATTACTGCAATGCATGTCATATTAGTTTTTTGTTTGGATGAAATTCCTAATTTCTAATTTCATAGTCCTACATACACATCCACTGGTTTTCTTTAAATAAGCTAAATCATATAAAATTATAAGAATTTACTTCACAGTTTTTTTTTTTAGTTTTTGATGAAATGTACTGGGATGGCGAGCATTTTGCCAAAAAACACTCAAATAGCAAATGTTGAAATTTCTCAGTTGTGTCTTTTCATGTTTTCACTCGTATTGTTTGCTTTCATTTTTTTTATTTCAAAAATGACAGTTACCATTTTAGAAACAATGGAAACATTAATTCCAAAAAAAACATCCATATATACTTGTAATTCGTGTGATGTTAAGAATAACAGCTATAATTTGCTATTATCGTTTTTATTTGTGTTACACATTTATTGCATCTTTTTATTTAACATGTGTCCACAAAATAAATGCAGTATATAAAAAAAATCAGGCCAAATGCTTTTCACAAATTTATAGGTAGGAATGTAAAGGTTTTCGCCATTATTGCTTTGGTTGCAACCATCAACAATTTTTCTAGTAAAAATACTATCCTGGTACTTATAATACTTATAAATCAGGACCTGGTTTCCAATATATATTGCGAAACTTGTGACGTCATTTGCTACGGGTAATGGAATGTGTCATGCATGTTGATGCTTAAGTTACATTGCTGCTTGCAGCTATAGTTATGTAATGTATTTATTATCTTTTAAATTCAGTTGCAGCAATAAAATGACGGCGAATCAATTGCGATCACAGTGTGGGGATAAACTGAGGGAGGAAATTGCAATAGTTACTGCTGCGAGTGGCGAAATTGCAAATGCTGTTGCAACAAGACTTAAACAAATGAACATCACCAAGTTATATATAGCCGCACCTGACTATGAAAATGTGAGTCTACATTTATTTTTGTGTGTGTGTGTTTTGGTTGGGAACATTTATTCAATGGTGTGAATGGAAAGTGATAATTTAGTTCACCATATATTTTGTATGTATGTATGCATGTATGAATGTGTTTAATGCTCGTGCAATATCACGATTGCACATAATTGAATTGAAAAAACAAACCATGCGAAAATAGGTTTCTATTAAATCTTTGAAAGTACCGATACTGCATGATTGGTAAGACAAAAAGTGATTGTAGATACATGCTCGCGTTTTGCTAAACTTTTATGAAATGAGACAATGTGAAGGTCAAAAACATAAAAAAAAACACAAATTTCTCCCTGGATGATTTGAAATTTTACATAGCCAAGTCATACACTTACTGAACCAATATTTATGTCGTGAATAAACAAAGTTGGCTAAAGTTTGTCGATGGTTTGAAATTAAGCTCCACTAGGTGCCAATAAAATATCATACCTTTATTTGTTTACAACTACAGAATCTACTGTCTTTAAAATTAATGTTAATTTGTGTATTTTACTAGCTCATATACGATATTTGATATTTGAGTATAGAATGAACGTGTAGCCAAGATATGGGTGGTTTGCCAGTAGCCTCAATCAAAAATGGTAGGTTTCAATCCCAAACGACGGGCTAATAATAATGACAGGAGTACTGAAAATAAAGTCTAGCTGGCCAATTCGGAATAGTCATGGTCATTATGACATTTGGTGTCAGTCATAATCAATGGGAATACACGTATATATTCCTAACTGTATTGCCATTGCATTCATTGCGGTTGCTTGATGGTCCATGTGAAATGTGACACATACCATTTGAGACATATTAATTTCATACACTGATTGTTCAGAGTCGTACCCTACGATACTTGCCAGTCGTTGTTTGAGTGTCCATATATCCATGACATCGCAATAGTCACACTGTTTCTGATCACCGTAAGGTGATAGACTTCTAGCTCTATTTCCAATTCATTGAACCAGAGTCACAGCTTCTCCACCAGCTAGCTTAACATGGAGAACCTTGTCTCCATGCTCTGTGATGTATGCCACCACAGTCAAGTTGTGACTTCGGACTAGAGCATCTTTGATCCATACCTCGTCAAGGAAGTAAACAGACACCCTCATTCTGCACTCCTTGTCTTATGTTGAGTAATTCCATCCACCATCTAGAGGCGGTTAGATTTTGAACTGTGTTTCTAAGCAGCAACCCGCATTGCCAGTCTTGGTGTACTAATGCTTGAACCTGGTGCATTGTGAGTGTAGCTTTGTGGGGATCAGGCCCTGCATGAATGAAGTCATTCCAACAATTCACATGAGAGTTGCACCTTTGGTCTGGAGTATAACAATGCTTACAGAAGTCTGATTTTGGTGCACAGCTCTTGCAACAGTCTTATTTCGCCTTGTTGCATGCAATACCCCCCCCCCAAATACAAGATTATGGACAGTGATTGGGAACAACTTCTTATTACTATGGAACTTTAGAAGTGCAAAATGCTTAATTTTTGGAAGATGTTTGCTAGTAGCACTTCTTCCTACTCCTTAGTCAAGATATGAATCTACATTCATCAGTTGCTAAGCAGCCACCTGATTTTTACAACCAGTCGCATCATGAAACCACATGGTGCTATGTTCAGCCTGAGTGAGTAGACCTTGGATTGATAAGTTATCTCTTGAATCATGAAGCATAGGACATCAAGTTTTTGTGGTGAATCTGTGCTTGAAGAAATGCGTCCTTGCGTTTGAGTGATGCCAGGTACACGCCCTGGTGTTTGCATTAGCACGCAAGTCGGGGTAATCATCTTGAAATGTTCCATCAGAATGTACTGATTAGATCTATGATTGGCGCATCGTTTCGTCTGTTTTGTTTACCAAAACACATATTGGAGATGTCAGAGGAAAGAAATTCTGACACACCCGTGACCCGCTCTTTACCAAAAAATCTCTCATTGTATGCAGGAGCATGACTGAAAAAATTACACGAACAAACTACATATAGACATATAGATTTTTATTCAGAAGCAGAATTTTACATGTAATGTCTCTGATGGTGATAAGTGATATTAGCTCAGCATGATAATCCTAATCTCAATTAGACAGCAAATATATCTTATTTGAGTACTAGTGGTGTTGATAAAGTTAGTTTATGAACGTGGTATTATTATGCAAACATTATATTCCACTTTTTACAATCATCAAACGATCTCAAGACAAGCAGCGAGTGCAGTGTGATGCTATTTCAATAGCAAAACTCATTGATAAATATTGTATTTTCACATACAAGCCTTCATCATTCATCCACTGGTACGCCAGTTACACTATACCGTGTATGATTTATTTCCACAAACTTGTTGTGATGAGGACAAACAAGTGTTTTTTGGAAATGTTTATTATGAAGGGGATGCACCCTGTTAGACGTTTGGATATGCTGAACCATGACAAGAGGTTAAAATTCACACAATGCTGCAGAAAACAATCCCACAGATATGCAAACCAGCAGCACATATGCTGGCACAAGTATATAACAAGATACAGACTGAAATTATGACAAGACCATTTACAAGCAATAAAATAGCAGGAAATGTTTATGGAGTTTATTACGCTGTTGAAACCAGAAATGCAGTAATAATTCCTCCAGTCCTTTTTTTATTCATCGCCCAGAACACAATGACCAGAAACGAGAAGGTTACAATGATATCAAACTACGAACAGTGATCATGTGATTGTGCCAGTGTGGTTCACATACGTCGTTTTTTCTCCACTAAATGGGGGTTTGTGCTTGAAAGAAACATGTAGTTTACTGATATGTACATGAATAAAGTGCGACTTCAAGTTACTACTTAAACTCTGTTTTGTTTATAATTTATTACTATACTTTAGTATTATTCTTTCTGGAGTTTGCTCAATATCACATATATGCTTTTAGTGGTTAAAACTTTTCAGCCATCTCCATGATTTCAAATAGTTTACCCTGACCTAAATTGTTTGTATGGGCCAGGTTCAGTACAGCACAATTAGGCAGTACTCAACTATTAAGTTTGTATCTTAGTTCCATTGAATAAGCCTTTTTACGAGTAAGAAGTAGAACATAAGAAGACTACTATGATCAAACAATTACAGGCAATCATCAATATTATCAAAAGAAGATTTCATTCTACGAAAGATGCAAGTGATATCATATTGCCAGAAAAATATAAAAGCGACAATTACGTATATTCATTGGTCGACCAGGAAATATGCCAAAGTAAGTTTTAAATTATTTTTGCCTGTATGATTAGATATATTCACGTCCCGATAAAAGTTTAAAGATCTCTGTGTGATTAGTCGTCTTTGATTCCCATGTGCGAAGCACGCAATGACAATATTTGTGGTTAGTGTATCTATGCGTCTGTTCCACTTATATGTCAAGAACCAATTATCAGATTTTGATGAAACTTTTTACATAGATGCTCTGGGATAATGCTCAGATTTGATTAGTTTTTGGTTGAAATCCGTTCATATTAATTACATAAATTGCATCTTAATTAACAAATTTAAGCATTTGTATCTATTTTTCATGTATTGTTGAACAGATTTCAATAAAACGTGGTATATAGATGATCGGGACAATCCGCAGACCTGATTAGTTTTTAGTTGAAATTCGCAAACCAATTAACCGATTTTGAGCATTTGTTTCTCATGTACTACTAAACAGATTTCAACGAAACTTGATACATAGGATAATGCCCAGACCTGATTAGTTCTTGGTTGAAATGACATGCATAATAATTACCTAATTAGCATATTATTTAACCAAATTTAGGCATTTTTACTCGTTTTTTCATGTACTATTCAACATATTTCAATGAAATGTTGTACATAACTGCTCTGAAATAATGCGCAGACTTGATTAGTTCTTGGTTGAAATCAGTGCATAATGATACCTAATTTGCTGAATAATTAACCAAATTTAATCATTTTCATGTGTTTCTCATGTATTAAACACATTTCAATAAAACCTGGTACATAGTCCAGTCCAATTCTGTGCATGTTTATTACCTAATTTGCATATTATTTAACCAAATTTAAACATTTTTACTTGTTTCTCATGTACTATTAAACATATTTCAATGAAATGCTTTGGTATAATGTGCAGACTTGATTAGTTTTTGGTTGAAATTCGTGCTATTAATGACCAAATTTCATCTAGCAGCTATATCGTTACAAAAAGGTTAACCATTATTTTACTTACTATGTTTTTTTTAGGATCAGACTACTTCGTTAAAAGCGGGTTTTCCACGTGGTCTACATTAGTAGCTTTCTTTCGAGTGTTGACCAATAAACCAACAATAGACATGCGAGATCTGCCAGGCTATCCTGAAGCTGTAAAGAAACTTCATATCTGGATTTAATAACACAGTGAAGTTAAAGTAACATAAGCTTCTAAAATGTTTCAACAACTTGCATTTGTGACTCTCATGCAATGAACACATTGAATTTTACTAGGGAAATGGTAGTTATTTAAAGTACACGTTGACAAAAACCAGGGAAATAGTTTATGTTCTTATTTTTCCTAATAACAGTGTTAATGTTTAATTGAATACTGAAATCAATATTTGTCAAATATTGTACTATCTATGTCTTGTATTTGTGCTCAACCTAATATCATGTATTCCATGCAATATTCTTGCTGAAATAAACTACTCATACACGTACAAACAAAAGTATTTGGTTTTTTTTACTTTTAACATTATCTTTTCCACTAATTCTTATTTCGCTAACTCCGAGATGACAACTACTTTTCGGCAACCACCAGTTGTCGTAACGAGGGCGCTGTATATATTACGACAAAATCGGCATTGAGTGATATTATTTAATAATATTAATTCTCTTCACTATTGAGTAAATCTTATCCGTATCGAAATGACAAACACTATGTGCCACGTTACGTAATCCCCGGCATAATCAAGTGACCAGAGCAAACAGTACATGTGGCATGTTGTGAATATTCTCCTATTATGAGGTCACAATGGATACCGATCGATTGGTATTTGACTAAGTTCACTACGCCTTTATCATTGGCCATATTTAATGTTGATGGGAGGGGAGGAAATGGGATGATTGTCTCAACAAACAAAGGCCCAGGTGATCTATTTATGATTAATTAATGTGATTGAACTAATAAATAAACGTGTGTACAGTCCGCTAATTAATAATTGTATGAATAATGTATCTGAGAATATATGTACTTAGGTATACAAGAACATTTTGAGAATTAAGAATGTGACGTTAATATTATGGTTAAATAATTACAGGAATTCATCAATGTTATGAAGAAAACATTGCCTGGCACGAAAGAGGCAATCGATATCACATTACCAGAGAAATACAAAAACGATAATTATGTATATTCTTTGGTGGACCAGGAGATTGCTCAAAGTAAGTAAAAAATTATTTGTAGCGTGATTGATTGGCAAGTATACTATACCACACATTTTAATGACACTCGACATCTTGCAAATGACTACAGAGATTCGTGGAATATATTCTCCTGATAATGTCTTGATGCGACATGGCAGCGTTTATTGTTTTGCATTAGAGTGGAAGGGAGTTCCAGTCAGAAGCAGTGATTCAAGTTTAAAATAGTTTGTTAAGTTATTGTGTCTAATATTTCCTCATTTAACAAAAAATAAAAATAATTTCCACAAAGGGGTAAATATTAGACAGTTATCAGGAACTGTCTCTAAGTGGCTGTTATTGGCCAAAGCCAAAAAGTAACAGCCATTCGATTTTGGCAGACGCCAAATACAATAACTGTTTTATTATCCCGAAACAAAATAACAAGTCCGTAAACTAATTCCCAGTTTAAAAATGAACATATTGAAAGTGTCATCCATCCTTTTATCGTCTGCAACACTCAAAATGTCCCGGATGTTATGACATCAGAATCCTGTGACACACAAAATTACGCCAGGGACAAGAAATATGCTGAGTAAGAACAAATCATGTGACCGCTTTACCAATAACCTTGATTGTCTCATACTTTTAGTCCAACCTAGCATATACTGTATTTATTAGCAACGCCAAACTAGCAATACCACCAATAATGAAGCTTTTGTTATGTGTGTACATGAACACGTAAATGAGTATAAACTGATCGCTGTATTATTTTCGTTTATTTTTTCAGGATCAACGTACTTCATTAAAAGCAGTTCTTCGGTGTGGTCCACTTTTGTTGATTTCTTTCGAGTAGCAAACAATTCAACAATCATCTTATCACAATTACCGGGGTATCCGGAGTCTGTTAAAAAACTTGGTGTTTGGATGAAATAGTAATTAATTATATTCAGACACCAAATAGAAAGTCAGACAGAATCACAGGATAGTTTTTGTAGACAGATGTAGTATTATATGTTATTATACATCTGTCACCGTAACGCCAAAAGTTACAGCGTGCCGTAATTTTTCGGTATTTTACGGGGTATATTCATCCTACCATAAAAGGAAACTTGGCTGCCACCAGGGTTTGAACGGACTCCACACAAAGACGTTTGCTGATTCTGTTCTAAACGTTTTGGATTTCGGCATTCCCATGATGTATCCTTGGAAGGAAAAGTTGTATAATAATAAGGTTATTATGGGGACAATACTCCCGCTGTAATGTCTTCGTGCATACTTTAAGGTATCCTCGTAATAACCTCATAATATTTTATCAACCAATTGAAACAACATTTCAGGTATCATTGTTATGCTTATGATCATCATTTAATCCAATTGGTAATTTCAAATTTGAAGCATGTTCCTTCATCTACTAATTTTTGAACTGCCTTATCCCAGCCAAGCAAAATAAAAAAAACGGCATCTCACTGTCCGCCAGTGACTTTTATTTCATTGTAACAGATACTTTTAATTGATTTACATCCTATATTTCTCAATGTTCGGGAAACATGCGGTTCTGTAGGAAACGCAAACACAGGATAAAACCATTTGGAGACGGCATTGGTTCTACCCGAGAAGGTGGGATCGTAGCTGTAGTCCACCTTTCTTCCAATCCGGGATAGATTTACCTAGCAAGTTCAGATAAATGTTGGGTGGTCTCGGAACTCAAACCAATCAAGCTAAATGCTTGCGCCGGTAGGAATTACAATTTGATTGAGCAAATAAAAATTACAGGTATCTCGTTTTTCCAAATCCAAAGTTAGTACCCATGACGAAATTATCGCGTTGGTGTGTGTTTGTGTATTAGTCTATTACTATTTGTCGACTAAGAGTGGTCGCTCATCTAGGATCTTTCACACCCTATACGAATCAAGTAAGGTAAGGATACACACAACTTCAATCAATTGTGCGTGTAGCATGTTTAGCAATTTTTTTTTCAATGGAGCCTAACAAAATCACTCGTATTGTAAATGTATGTACAATTACATTAGTAGTAATTATACGCATTGACTTTTATTTCGTGAGTGGTAATCCCTAGTACATGTACAACATGAATGGAATTAATATGGAATAATGTGCTTTGGGTGTAAATACATTTTCTAATATTAGATTGCGTTACTACATGTACTGCATGTCGGGAAGAGTTAGCATTGAAATTAATGTTATCTTGGTGTGTCAATACAATATAATACAATACAACTTCCCACGTAATAAGTTTGGTTCACTTCAGTAAGGGCATACGGTCGTAAAATTCCTGCTCAAACAGATCCATATAGGTGGACAATATTTCATGTAAATATGTATATATATGTTTCAGTTTTCCTTGGCATTTGGCAGGGGGATCGTAACCTCTTGTAGTGAGAACCAGTGTGACTGGCCTGCCCACGGGATGCTAAGGTTTTCATAGTAAAAGTTACCACATCCGTTAATGTAATCTCGTAATCACTTTTTATATGGAAATTACATTTACGGATTTATACATAGAAGAGATGACTGTTATACATAGAAGAAGATGACTGTTCTTAAAAGCACAAGTTTCAATGTTTCTCTTTTTGAAACTATTCCGCCAGTCTACTTATTATAGCGATATTGCACCAGGAACGCCATTGGTATATCATTCGTATTTTATGTGGCCATATGATGACGTTTTGTAATTTCACTAAGGGCATACGTCAAACCAAACAATTTTAGAATTTGAATTATTGAATTCAATGCAATGCTCACATTGACTTAGCATTTAAATGTCTAGTGAAATGAGGTTCTCTGTTTATTAAGTAGAAATATGAGACATATCATGCGCTAAGTTGAATCAACGGATAAAATAAATATAGCATCACGATATAAAGGAGATTTATCCATTCTTACAATGTTATAGCTTAAAAACAAGTGGCCCTAGAATTATACAATTCTGCCAATATAATGCTAAATTGAATTTATGTCATCTTCCAAAATAAACTTTCACAATAAAACATGGAGCACAACAAATAGACTAAATAAAGACTGGTTAAAGTGTTAAAATGTATCCATTAGAAAGCTCTATCTAAAAATGCCCATTTTACTCATTAAAAAAATACTAGGTTCGACACGTAGTCATCAGCGGCAAGTATCATTATAATTTCATTAGACTATTGGGCTTTTATGTAATAGGAAATCTAAAGAGAAAAATCATAATATCTTAATATCGACGTATTCTAAAACAGGACAAAATTTCAAAAGTTTTTCAATGATAAGTCAAAATAGGAGAAATGTGTACGTCGATTTCTTTTATATTTCATTGATCTTTTTCGGCATCCGAACACGAAAAATTAAAACAGCTTCAACCTTCCCTCAAGCATGCCTGAACAAAACCTGAATAGTTTTTCAGACAGAAAAATAGGCGGTCATGTGATCTTTGAATTACGCATAAATCTTGCCATCACACATATCAAGAATCAAGAAAACGAACTATAGTGTTATGGGATTGTTGTAATAGAGGTGTTGACCGACCATTATACAATTTAATATATTCACAATTTTCATTGCAATTTTTTTCGAATTATGATCAACACGTTTTATTGTTTATTTGTTCTATAATTATGTTGTAGAATTACTCAGCTGAAAACCTTAAAACCATTAAGCCAATGAATAATGATTTCATGCAAGTCTATACTGGGCCCGGGAACGAAAAGACACCTACACATGTTAAATTCAGTCAATACTCGAGTGACCTGAATTTACAACCGTTGAATACATTAGCAACAAGTATCAAAGATGTTGCACAGAATAAACAAATTAAACAAACAAAGCGATATCTTTTCCCCTTAATCTATTATGCATGTGGACACTGTGAGCAGTACTCGTTTTTTGTGAGTGGTATTATGAATGCCATGTTTCTGAATCGTTCATTGGTAACAATACCGTTCCATCTACAAGATGTTTTTATACAACGCAACTGTTATGAAACGCAAAACTCAAATTGTGGCATTAACCACAGTCGATGAATTAATGGATATTTGTGAAACATATTTTACTCCGCCAAATATTCTGCTAGGAACACAAGGGTGTCCAAATAGAATAATTGGATTTTACATCCAGGGAGTGCACTTACCAACAAGGGAGGAGGTCCAGAAACATCAAGAAAGTTTATCCCAAGATTCCTTAGTGGTATCCAATAATGTCAAGTGTATATTTTTTATTACTAATATGAAAGAATATATTAACGAAATGAACCAAAACATCAAGATATAATACAGAATATCCACAAACAATTGATTAGAGCTCCTTATATCTGAGAATTAGCTACTGATGCCATTAAGCAGATATCGGGAAGACATTTAAAAACATTATTTTAGAAGCATGATAATACAACGACTAGATTTGGTGTCACAGTATGCTCCCAATTCATATTCATATAAAGGTTGTTCAGCATACATTGTCCGATAGCATATTCAATGGCTAGTTCTCATGATCTTCAACAGTAATGAATAAAAAGAAATCATTGTTATGCCATGTTTTTAGAAGACATCGCCGTATCAATTTTTCATTGGGACCATACTGATTCAAGCTGCAGGGTGTCTAAACAATGACTCAGCAACCAATCAACACATCTTTCACCCACCACAAAGTTTGTATCCATAATTGAACACCCAAGAAATCAACAGATCAGGTTGCATCCTGAAAACAAGATAGCATATTACATGTCCTTGCAAACATGAAATCCTCCACCCCTACCAATACACCCTGCAGCATTATTTGTTCCTATACTCATTTGAATGTATGTACAACACCTTAAACAACCACTCATTCTAATTACTGTTAAGTGAGGGCACGATTTCCTAAAGAAAGAAATATCTTTTAAAAGACATAAACAAATCTAATATTACAAGCAAAGAACACCAAGTGTTCAATAATTTCAATATACTAAACCGATATCTGTACCCCACTCGGTGACCATGTGTAGATTTCAGTTACCAATATTATACTGTATTTTAATAACAATTAAACATAGTTAAACTATTGTTAAACTACCTTAGAATAATTATGCATAACAATTCCATTACCTCTAAACTGAATGAAACAACACATATAACTTGCATCCACGGGGCTTCGAGTCTAGCCCCAGCATCATTTCTGCGATAAACCATTTTCCATCTAGTAAAATAATCCAGTGTTGAAATTAAAATAAAATAATAAAATTAATTCATAAATACCACAATCAGTGAACATCAAGTGCAGCCTCAAATTAATGAAACATTACAATTCACTCACCTCAAAACACAATGTGACAGGACCTATAACTTGTACCTATGGGGCTTGTAGTCTAGCCGCAGCATCATTTCTGCGATATGCCATTTTCCATTATGATAAACACTAAAATGGCCGCTATTTGACCATCTTGATTCGGGTCTGCTTATGTAAGACGTGTGTGATGTGACGGGTTAAAACAAACCAGAGATATGATGCTGGAACTGTACTCGTCAAAACTAAACGACTGCCACTAGGTTATTTTCAATACGTACAGCTCTCAGACAGCAGCAAATGGCGATGACCCAATTATTGAACTACCAGGGCAACACAAAATGTTCATGGAACTAAGGATGTGCAAAAATGTAATAGTTTCTGCAATATTTCTATATGTTTTAGATATAATAGGAAACATTTTAGTTGTCAATCACCTTATTTGTAATTCAGTATATCATATCTATTGTTTCCATGGCCATAAAATCTCTGGGTTTTATTAAACGTTCTTGTTATAGCTTTAATGATATTTCTGTAATTATTTCTTTGTATCTTGTCAGATCTATTCTTGAATATGGGTCTGTGGTGTGGTCCCCTCATCAAAAAAGGCTTTCTAACAAAATTGAAAATATGCAATTTAAATTTGTTAAATATTAATGTATAACGTTACGTGTGTA